GTTTATAACCATACAAGGTAAAGATAAAATAGTCCTAGTGAGTAGCCTATATTGTAACCAGTCAGCTAAAGAATAATGTATCTTTCAGGTTTTTGATAGATATTTTTAAATAGTTAACTTTCAGATATTGATGTAGTTTTTAGGCATTTTCCTCTGTGCTCAATTTGTCAGCTTCCCCTCATTTATTTAAGAATAAATCTAAATCAGGTAAAAAGGCTGAAGAGAAAATTTGTGAAAATGCAGGCAAAGTCCAGAGAGGGAAAAAAAAAAATAAAATAAACTTTTAAACACTTTAGGAAGTCTGGGGATCTAGTGATTGATATTACTTATAACAAGGTCTGTTTTATAAAGTGTATAAAAACATAGCAGAGGTGTTTTGACCAAGTCAACAGTGCTATGCAATGACAAAGCACTTTGCAAATGTTTATWTCCTGAAATCGATGCAAAAAAAGGTTTGTCAGATGACCCATTTGAGTGCAATTTTATGAAAAAAAAATGCAATTAACAGAGTCACTATACGCAACTGTTTTCACATAACTTTTTATGCTTTATTTTTGTTTATTGCTTTTCTTACACCGTTGATCAGAGTTAACATGTAGCTAATACAATTWTCATGAGTTACTGTTAGACAAACTTTAAACAAGGAGAATAACAGACAAAAGTGGTTTTATATTGTATAAATAACCAAAAAGACATATGCAGACATGTTCTGTTTTTGTTTGGTTACATCCAGACAAATGCAAATCCTACATTACATCACAGCCCTGGCATTCTATATTACGCAAGTTAAAATCATGCCTCCAATCCAAGTTATTTGGATTGAGTTTCATTATCACAGAAAGYCCATTTCCATCAGCTCATATATCTCTGAGTGTCACTGAGCTGTGCTATGGTATAACACTTTAAACACCACAGGGAGTGTGCATGACTTCTTCCTACTTCCAGCTACGTGGACAAATTCAGAAATGTCTCGCCTCATTTCACTTTGCTATAAGCCATATTTTCATTATTCCCATTCATATTCAGCTATGAGAAGTTCAGAATTCATTTGTTTTCAAGTCTGTTCTTTATTTCTTTTTTGTTTCCTTTATTATTTAATACTGTATTCTCAGCAGTACAAAGTAAAAAAAGAGGATCTCCTCTTGCATGAGTGAAGGCATCACAAACGTGACAAATTCATCACAGAGCTCAAAATCACACACCTGTAATTTTTTTTAAAAAATTTTTTACCTTTGCTGCGCCGTCGACCTCTGTTCTGCTCTGTGTGAAACTTCATTTGATTGTCATCTTCAGGCTCTGAACCGGATTCCCCTTGGGGACCATACATGCCTCCAGTTGCTGACAGTGAGATGTCAAGAAAAAGACAAGAAGGGATGTAATGAGAATGCATTATTTAATGATTTCTGTTTTTTTTCTTCTTTCAGAGTAATAATTGTGTTATTGAAACATAGGTGGTGTGAGCAATGGTGCTATCTTTATCCACTTGAGTGCCAAGGGTATAAAAACACAAAAATTGCATAATTATAGTACACAAGGATGACATAAATTGAAGATTAAATGAACAAATGTATTTTTTATTGCATTTCCCTCCTGGTTTGATCAATAGGCAATTCAACTGTGAAGCTCAGTTTTCTAATCATATTGTGTCACTTTGCCAGGGTGCGTGTGTGTGCCTGTGTGTAAATCTGTGATGGACAGACAGCTAAACAGATGATGTGAGAAGCTTTGTTTTTGCTGTTTTGTCATCACTAAATCAAAGCACAAACTGTCACCAAAATTTGCATGGGTTGCCTCAAAAGTGATAATTGCCAARTTGCACAACTTTGCAAAACTATTAACCTTCCAAAACCTAAATAAGGGATGTACAACACATGTATTGCTTTAAAATGCATTCTTAAACTGATTAAAAAACATTTTAAAAGAAAAAAAGTCACTCTCCGCCTAAACATTAATTCTATTTCTTGTCATTTATCTGTATTGTTAAAACCCACGGGKTTACAGATTATTCCTAATCTCCGAGAATGCAATTGAAATAAAGGACAGATCAGCTTTTTTTTTGTCATTTTCATGATGGGGCACCTGAGGGAAAATGGTTTATCTGATCAACAAAAAATAAGTCAAGAAGAAAAAATACAACTGAGTTAGGGTTTTACATCAATATTACTCTACAGAATGCAAAGGCAACAGGCAGTGAGGCACAAATGTTTAGTCATTCAAAGGTCATAAAAGCAGTATCCCATAGTCACAAGCCTTAAACCACATCAGTTAAAGCTCTTTAAAGTTGTTTCCTTCATGCCAATATTGCAGTGCAATAGAAATAACGTGATCTCAAAAGGGTAAATGTTTGGCTACAAAAGTTAAAAAAAAAACTTGTTTTGTGAGCTTTTCTTTAATCAATTTCTCTTTTAATATCATGATATTTCTGTTGCTCTAGTTTCTGTTCTTATTTTTTTKGTCCTGCCATCAAACTGACCTCTTTCTCAATTTTGTTGAGCAGTCAGAGCTTTTTGTCTGCTTCCTCACAGCACATTTGTCTCAGATTTCACGTTTTAGAAATAGAAAAAGCGCTGCGAAAAAGCATTTGCCCTCTTGTTGCAGATTTCTTCTGTTTTTGCTTTTATGTCTTATTTACATGTTTCATATTATTAAACTGGTATCAGAGAAAAACAACCTAAAATGGAATAGTTTTTAAATGATAATTTCATTTATTAGAGAGAAACAGCTGCCCAAACGAACCTGGCCTAATGCAAATAAGTAATTACAATTTAAATCTTGTAACTGCTTGTGCCAACAACTGCAATCAAGCGTGTGTGTCGATTTTTTGAGAGTTTTACAAAATATTCCTGACTTGTTTAGGTCAGAGTACAACAAAGWGAAAGTAGAACAGTTGACTTCAGGGCAGCAGTTTTTAAGATGCTGGGTAAATTGTCACTACAAACTCCCTTGCTCACTGATTCCCAGAACCTGCCTAATCCTGTTCAGGGTCATGGGGTTGTAAGGAGTGCCTGGGGTGAAATGGGGTACACCGTGGACAGGTCACCAGTCCATCACAAGGCCAACACCACTCCTAACTGTACTCCCTAGCAATACTTCCATTTTCTGCAGGGTGTGTCTCCTTGGGGGATGACCTCAAAAAAGTGGAGGTCAAGAAAAGACAGAAAAAAACAGTAGAGGCTGGACAATTCACCTCTGAGCTGTGTCTGTCCTTTTACAGAATTCTGCAAAACATAATGACAAAGATAACCTATGTGACCCAAAACGGGTCTACTGGGTTGTGTTATGCTGAACGTTTTGAACTTACCGTACTTAAGATATTTAAATATATTCTAATAGATTTCCAAAAGAAGAGTACAACATTTATTTTTTCTCAATCATTCCCTTCATAAAACTGATTTGTACTGTACATTTCTGAATTTAGTAACTCATTTTATTTGTTCAATAGCAGCTCATCCCTGCTGTTCTTGCCTTCTCAGTTCAAGTCTCCATCAGCCATCTGTGAGCTCAATCCCAACATCAGCAATCTAAACTGAGGAGGAATGTCCTATTTCTTGCTTTCATTTAGGACACCACCCTGCTATGATGCTTAATCATTCTCCGAACATTAAAACTCTTACATGTACATCAGTGTGTGTTCCTCTTTGCATCTATCTTTGCTGAATACAAAACAATAAAAATGTTGGGAAAAAAAGCAAAACTTGTACAACAGGTAATGACCTAAATACAAATATGTACAGATACTCAAACAGGACATCAGGAGAGCTCCTCCGGGAACTATTTATCACTTTATAATCTCTTCCTTTCCCATAAATGTTATACTGTTATGTCCCTGTTAAAAGACGTTTACTGCCAATAAAAGAGCCACATATTCTGCGTTTCTTGTTCATTGGACAAAGTCACAATTCCTTGATAATTGCTGAGCAGTGCCAAGTGAAATATCCTTTTTTTCCCCCTTACTTGAAAAATAATATGCCATGGCTCATGAAAATGTAATTGCATCATAAAGATTCTGGATATGATTAAAAGTTCTATTAAATCTGAGCAAAAAGAGTGCACTGAAAGCCAGAGTCACTCTTTTGGTCTGGTGCACTTCAACTGGACGAGAGTCGAGTTGATTCAAGTGCTGAAGTCTGGCTGTGTTTGGGAAAGTGGAGCTAAGGCAATGTGGTGTAAAATTGGTTTGAAATTTATGCATCATGTTCGAACATGCCCAGAGAGTTGGTATATGAAGAGAAAGGACAGCTTCACAAGGGCAGCTTCACAGGTTCAGGCTGCTGGCTGCACAGATATGTGAAAATAGGTGTTCCATTGTATATTTACTGAAAATATATATTTTTTTAAATAAAAAAATGTATCACAGATACTCTAAAAATTTCCAGGTACTCTCTACATCTTACATGCTCCATGATTTTAATGCCAACTAACTTAGGAGAGTTCACTCTTGTTACTGGCAGCAAAGGATATTAATGATTTCTGTGTCTGTTGGGCTACGTTCACATTTCATTTCATCTGACTTTTACATCATTGGGGTTGAGGTACAGTATATGGCTTCATCTGAATATTAAAATAATTATTACTGACATCATTCAGTTTAACGGGGACACATCATGTAAAATCCACATTTTTAGCCATGGAATACATTTTGTTGTATTCTATATAGTGTAGACAATATGAATTTAGTCATTCCCAGTGCTGCATAGATATCTTTTTATTCTTTTTGGGTCMGATTTTTCAACCCGTTCAGTTTTTTCTATTAGCTAAAATGTTTTCTGAACTATTACATCATAGTATTTGCAACAGAACTTCCAAATAAAGAATGAACTTACTAAGTACAGTTTGGTTGCCTTCATTCTCCTCTTGCTCTGGGTCAGACTCTGGCTTTAACATGTAAGGCTGGATGGACAAGTTTTCTCTTGTTGACATCTTTCAATTAATTCGTAAGTAAAATGTTTCTGCACTGCTTTGTAATTGTAAATTTCTCCATCAAGCTACAATGGACTGGCCTGGAAGCTGGAGTGWGGTGGGGTGTTAAGYGATTTGTTTGGATTTAAAGAGACAGCATCARAATYAGTTAAATTGAGACACCTCAGAAATAGGGTGAAAGAGGGGCTTGTGGAGCTACAATGAGGAKGAAWTCAGACCAAAACATTGCAGTTCCATTTTATATAGACCCCAACTGAATGATTTAAATGTGAAAAAGGAAGATCTAAACACATGACATGTCTCCTTTAAAACATGGAACTCCACTTGTCTTCAGCTACAGAAAAGACGTTTAGTTGCTTAATCTTTTTTTTTTGGTCATGTCTTGGATGACTGAGAATATACATTACAATATGTTACCGTTGGTATGACGTGTTGGATTGTATTGATCCTAGGGTTGAATGGGATCAATACTTGAGTTTAATATTTAATTGTGCCCCACTAACCCATTCTCACTCCCGACTCGTCAACATATTGACGCTTGGTCAGGTAGCCGTCTGCGTCCAGCTTCGGACGCATTGGGTACCTCCATCGTGTCCGTTCTTAATGAGATGAGGTGGCGGAGGACGAGCATGTTGTCATATTTTTTTGAAAAGAGTAGGAAATGCGCAACAACTAACCGTCCCAGACCATAAATTTAACTTTTATTAACCATATACAGCCTATCCCTGACCTCAGTACCTAAAATTAATCATTAATCTTGATCCCTCATATTAAACACAGACCCCCAACACAAAGACCCCTAAGTGGCGCAACCTGGAAAAGCCGCGGGTGGCAAGGACTGACATGAGGGGGGGTTACTCGATGCATTAAAACTGGACGCAGACGATACCTGACCAAGCGTTAAAATGCTGCTGAATCAGGAGTGAGAACGAGTTGGCCCCACTGAGTTTTTAAGTGCAGCCAACTGATTATGAAGCTTTATGTTCCCATTAGTAACACACTAAAAACACTTCTCAACCACATGAAAATTAGATTTCCACTGTGATTATCCACTTATTATGGCTTATAGCGCAAGCAGGAACTACTTTAGTTTTTGTTTGATGTGGACCCTGTCCACAAAAACTACCTTGGGTTTTCACAGAACCCTCAGTTTTTACTTCTAGTCAGACCTGAGACACTTTCTTCTGACACTGACTCAATGTTAAAAAAATATTTAGCTATAACAGTAGATTGAAATTGATTCACCGTTGTTGTTCTTCTAAACCAGTGAGGAACAGAATCAAATTGATTAACAACCAATGGTAACTTAAATATGATAAACAGTTTGTGGCCTCACCAATAAAATCTCATTGTGAAAAGGACCACATTTTTTCAGCTGTTTAAATTTGAAAATTATGAACACTCACAGTTTAAACACA